GAGAGAGAGAGAGAGAGAGAGAGAGAGAGAGAGAGAGAGAGAGAGAAAACGCACAAGTGAGCATGGGAGTGGTTTGGAGGGAGGCACACACTTGAGGGTCAAGTTATTAAAAAGAGCCCAGGGAAGAGGATGGGTGAGGATGGGTGATGAAAATGGATAGTCACTGGGCTGAAGCCTACAATTCATTCTGGTCTGCTAATAATCTAAGAACCAAGAGCTGCCCACAGACAGTGGACAGGAGCTGAGTGGACAGGTCAACAGAAGTTCCTTTAGATGAGAAGAGAAGCTCGTTGGTTTCTAGCCCTGGGAAGGAACTGATGCCATTTGTCATCAAGGACATAGCCATGTGAAGAGGCTGGGCTCAGATGCTCCGCAAGAACAAAAAAAATGAAAAAGCGGCTTCATAGATGAGTAAAAGTTTCAGGGAGAAGGCTGAGCTGAGGGGTAGGGTGGGGGACTGTAAACTGTGTTAGCTTTGCCTATCAGTGGTCAGACTGGAGTTTCCCTAGTGAGAGATTTATGATCCATACCATGTCAAATCTGTTTTGTATTCGGTTTACTTTTTATCAGTTTTTTAGAAAACTTACTTTTGAAAATTTCAGCCTGGTTTTAGTTGAACTAGAGAAAGAAGGGGGATAGTCCAGAGCGGGAGAAGCTAAAGTCTCAGAGTCCTTGAGGGGATGGGCCTGTGGCTCTTGGATATATATCCCAAGGCTCAGGTTGCTAGAGATAGGACAAGGGGAGGGAAAGTTTTGGATAATTGGGACAGCCAATCCCTTGTTCCCTGGAGGATTCCCAAACAGGGAGAGAGTCAAATGATTTCAGAAGCCCAATATTGAGTGCTGGAATTAATGAAGCCTTGGAACTAGCAAGAAGTGGGAGTAGAGAAGGGATGAGATTAGAGCCCAATGTGTCCTCCTCCCAACCCTCCTGGTCCCTTCAGAGCCCACTTACCTCTGGAACGATGAACAGTTGTCCCAACGGTGTGAGCAAGGAGGAGCCCATATCCATGACCCCTTGCAGAGCGATAGAGCCATACCCACTGAGCCAGAGCACTCCTAAGGCGAGCTGGACAAGGAGAGGGGGCCGAGGTTAGCTCACAGCCCCGAGCCCACGAGGCGAAGCCAGGGATAAGGGCTGTAGGGCAATCCCCTGGCTCATCCCTCAGAGACCCCTGTGCTTCTATCCCTCTGCATTTATTAGATTATTATTATTATTATTAGGCTCTTACTCTAAAGAACACATTCCCAAACTTCTTCCCTCCCTCAGCCCACACCAAGGGAAACCCTGAAGGTGAGATCTGGAATCTCTTCATCTGCAGAAGCAGCACAGACATGATTCACCAAAGTGAAGGCAAGAGCCCGGCTGTATGGGAAGGGTCTCAACCTCCAGCAGAAGACTCCCAGAGAGAAAGGCCTAGAAGGGGAATCTCAATTAGGGGGTGACTCCCCAAAATTACCACACAAGAGCTCCCTACAGAAAGGAAACCACAAAGCTGTCCTCACAAAGAAGACCTTACAGAGGAGATCCCACTGCGACAAGGCTCCTCCAGAGAGGACCCAGGAGTGGCACAGGGTGCCTGGAAGTAGATGCTGGAGTTCAGGACTCCTGGCTCCTCCTCATCCCAGCCCTAGAGATTCCACTGGGCTGAAATCTTTACAGGTGAGACAGCAGAGCCCCTGGGTTCCTCTGGGGCTCATCTTGGATGGGCCCTGGGTGCAGGTGGGGGGTGGGGATGGGGATGGGGATGTCCCTCAGCTTCCTTCCTCCCCTCCCCCCTTCCTCCCACCACAGCCTGGCGCATCCCACGTCCTTACCAAGAATTGGGAGATGGCAAACAAGCACATACTGCCACCCCCAGTCAGAGGTTGGCCCCAGGGACACTGGGCAGGCTCTGTTTCTCTCTCCGAGGACTGTGGGGGTGCTGCTGTTTCCCCCTGCTGGTCTGGGTGCCCCTCACTCTCATCGATAGCCTCCATTGCTATGGGCTGGGGGAGACCTGCAGAAGCCAGGAACACAGTCAGGCTTAGTGACTCCCAGGTCTGCTGGGACCCAGTAGCATCTACTTCCCTTTTTTTTTTTTTTAAAGCTGTTGATTCCTTTCAATCCTGTATCCGTCAGTGTGGCTTCACATCCAGCCGTCACACTCGATTAGCAAAGCAATATTCACCTACCTTCGTCAGAAAGATCTGAGTGTGGGTGGACAAATTATTTTTCTTTTATTTCTCCAGGAACAGAGTTAAAATGGCAGGAGGTTTTTCAGCGAGTTAATGTAGTCATGTTTATTCAGCCTTATTCTTTTTCATTTCTTAAGGAAACAAAAAACAACCTCCCCAAACCCAATTTTTAAAGGCCGGGCCCCACACAGCCTGTGTAGCTTCTCTGTTCCCACCTACACCTGTCCCTGGGGTTCTGGGCCCTCAGGGTCTCTTGTCCCAAGGCTAAATAAAGAACAGATCCATGGCCATGTCAGCTGCCAGACTCCCAGCAAGCTGAGGGGTTTGGGAAGTGGGACACACACCCCCTTAGAGAAGTCCTTGACACATGGGACTTTCCTTCATTGTTCCTTGAGGGCAGAGACTGTCTTTTGCCTCTTTTTGCATCCCTAGCACTTAGCACAGTGCCCAGTACATAGTAGATGCTTAATAAATGTTTATTTATTAATTGCTACCTGAAATAGCTTTTAAAGATTGAAGCCCTATTGGGACCGTCATTAGAAAAATAAGAACCAGGTGAATGCTGTCCTGTCCACATATCCACAGGGGCATATAAGGTATGACTACTGGGAAAAGAGATCATATTTACAGCTGCTACATTAAAACCATTCTTGTAACTTTTTAGACATGTTATACACTCATACATATATACATATATATATATATATTTTTTTTTTGGGGGGGGCTAGGCAATGGGGTTAAGTGATTTGCCCAGGGTCACACAGCTAATAAGTGTTATATGTCTGAGGCCAAATTTGAACTCAGGTCCTCCTGAATCCAAACTCACATATTCTTGATGTGAGCAGCACTCACTGGACTATGGATTTCCTTGGCATAGATCAGAAACTGGCTATGTGAGACAAAGACCATGGTTGATGGGAGAAATATTTATCCACAGAGAAGGAAAGTCTATTCCTTTGTTCAAATGGTCTGGAATGCAAGAGACTATGGTTCCTGACAAGCCGTCTTTTTCCTATCAAATGAGTTAATATTTGTAAAGGATCAAATGAGATAATATTTATAAAGCACTAAGCACAGTGCCTGACACATAGTAGGTACTTAATAAATGCTTATTCCTTTCTCTTCTCTTCCCTCCTATGGATCTCTCTATGATTTAGTCACCCACAGGTGGACCAGGGAGAAAACCTTAAACCTGCAGCAAAATGTTCTGTAGCTAGATTTTCTGTGATATTTGGTTGTCTCATTCAGAACTTTGACAGCCACAGCTCAGAGAAAAGGAGCCTCAGTCTGCATGGTTCAAAAGTCCATTGGAAAAAGGTTGCTAATCTTCCGTCTTTGCCCAGGTCTTACTCTGATGCTTATTCATAGTATGGAAGTGACTTTGGGTTCTTGAAGGTTACTGTGTTAAAAGAGCTATGCCTGATGGGGACTACCAAGCCAATAAGCATTTATTGAAAACCTACTATGTACCAGGCACTGTGCTAGGTGCTGGGGATACAGAAGAAAAAATGAGATTGTCCTTACCCTTGAGACTACCTTTCCAGGCTTACTACACATACTCTGTGGTTGAGTCAAATTGACCCAACTAGCTGTTTCCTGCTCACAATATTCTACTAGGTCAAAGGTCTGAGAACTTTGAAAAAAAACTGGTAAGTTCATTTCAACATAATTCATTTCCTTTGTAATCCTATGTATTATATTTTGTGCATTCAAACACAATGTGGAATGCTTTGCATGCAGTAGGCATTTAATAAGTGTTTACCAACTGACTCTAAACCTAGTGTTCTTTCCATTACACTGTGTTCTTGAGACCCACAGTCACTGAGTCACCACTCATTTCTGCCTGTGCTTCTCATTCAGTAGGTTGAGATTTTGGCAGGTGAGTGGCTGCTGAATGGTCTTACTTAATACACCTGCTCCAGGACAACACAGCTGGGGCTTTACTGGCATGGCAATGGGGGAAGAAACAAACTCAGGCCTTTTCCTGTTGGTTAGCACACTCCAGCACAGCAGCTTAGCTCAAAAGGTTTGACCCTAGTGTTAGGAGGGTTTGAGCCTCATGTGGCCTGTTACCTCTGTCCAGTTGTGTGGCTCTGAAGAGGGCCCAGAGCCCCTCACCAACTGTTTTCAAATGCCCAATTTAAGGCAGAAGGACCTGGGTGAAAGTATGGATTAAGTATAACTCACTCATTTATTCATTAAGCAATTTATTCAATATTTAATTTTTTTCATTTTTCCCCAAAATTCTTCAATTTTATTCAATTATCTAATAATTTTTCAATATATAAAATTTTTTTTCAAATTTATTCAATTATTATTCAATAAACAATTCAAGGGCTTACTTTGTGCCAGGTACTGAGGATGGAAAAGCAAAACCTCAAGTCCCTGTTCTGGAAGAGATTACATTTTATTCAGGGAAAACAGCATATATACTGAAAATTACAAAATACATACAAGCAGGTTTCTGGGAGAAAGGTATGAGCAGCTGGTGAGAGCAGAACAGGGTTCCTATAGGAGATGCTACTTGAGTGGGACTTTGAAGGAAGCTAGGGATTCCAAGAGGCAGGGAGGGAGGAGGAGGAGGAGGAAGAAGAGGAGGAGGAAGGAATCAGTCCCAAGTATGGACGTCAGCCTGTGCAAATGTTGGGAGGTGGGAGGGAGTTGAATATTGTGTGGAGGATACAGCATGTTAAGCCAGTTTGACTCTACCATACAGTGTTCGAAAGACTGTAATGTGCAATAAGCCTGGAAGGACAGGTTGGGGCTTTAAATGTGAGGTCAGGAAGTATTTATTTTATTCTAGAGGCAGGAAAGATCCACTGTAGCTTCTTGAGCATGGTTAGGCTTGTGCTTTAGGAATGTCACTTTACCAGTTATTCAGGTAATGCATCAGAGAGGGGGAAAGGCTGGAGACTGGGAGATGAATAGAGCTATTGCAATAATCCAGGTGAGTGGTGATGTGTAGTTGTGGAATGAGTGGAGAGAAATGGATGAATGAAAAATATGGAAACAGAATCAAGAAAGTCTGGCAGCTGATTGGATATGAGAAATGAGGCAGAGACAAAAGACATTTCCGTGAGTAGAAACCCCCCAAGAACATCATGTTCTTGTCAATGCCCTGTTAATGAATGTCATCTTTGCCTGTGAAAGGTGCCATATTAATGACATTGCCCATAATTTATTACTGTTGGCTTGTTGAGCTGTGTAGAAACAGTATTTGAATGAGAGAATGTATAATAGAGACATATTTTGCTCTCATGAGCCTGACAGAATAAACCGGGTACTGAATAGACCAGATCAGATCAACAAACATTGAATGCCTACAGCATTCCAGGTATAGAGTGAGATGCTTTCTTGGGAGGGGGTTTAGGTGGCTTTATAGGATGTGATAGAGATTACTAAGTAGAGAGATGAAGTCTTATTGTATTTTATTTTTATCTCTTCTTCAAGTCATTCACTCTATGGACCTGGGCAGGTCACTGTCTATTCACAAGCCTTGGTGTCTTTGGCCTAGAGTGGCTGTCAGCCCTCCCTCCTCTGTTATACCTCCCCTCCGCCCCCAATTCTCCCTTATCTCTCTCCCTAGTGATGTTTAATGATGGGAATAAGACAGGTTAAAAGTGGGTAAGGAAGTATCATAAGGAAACAGGTACCATCTCTACCTTTGCCTCCGGATTTAGGAGCTTAACTTAGAGCCTCAGAGACCATGCATTTGTCTGGCTGTGAGAGGTGGGGAGTACTGACCTCCTACCTGCCAGTTAGCAGTCAAAGCTGAATGAATCCATAGGCACAACTCTCTGGATGTCACGGCAATGTTGCTGCTGTCAACTTACGCAAGTGAAGACGCAAAGGGAAACATATGTAAGCTGAGATCAGTAATTATGCCACTGGGGGCAATCACAAGCATCAGCAAGTCTACTAGCACTGGTGAGTGTGAGATTGGTTAAGCTGACTCTACTGAGATAGTAAAAATAGAAGAAACATAATGCTATTCAGGAAAAGTGGCTTACTGCCTTGTCCAAGGTTCATGATCATGGCCAAAGCCCACTCTCATCCCCTCTCAAAGGCCAACAGATGCATTAGGCAAAGCCAGTGTTAAGGATAAGGCAATATATATTCAGGATAGAAGAGATAGTGTCCACATTGGGAGGAGGTCAATTATTAGCCAAAAAACAAAACAAAACAAAACAAAACAAAACCCAAAACACTAGGCTGATCTGTTGGCAGGGTGTCTATAAAGTGCTGAAGTTTAGTGAGAAAACCAGCTGTAGTAGAGATTTGTGTCGGAAATCCACATAAAGTTGTGAAGCAAACTAAGGGAGTTGACCAATTGTCTGATTCAACCTCAAAGCTTGAATCTTTTTATGAAAGCTGTCGATATTACTTACTCACCTTATCCTATCCTTCCCACCCCAACTTCAACCCCAACATCATGCCTAAATGATAGCATTGTAGGGGGAAGGACTTATCATTCTTCTTTCAGACTCTGCTGTGAGATCCTACACTATTCCTCTTCAAGAGATATCTCTCTGATTCTCAAGGTTGTGGTTTAGTATTATGGAACTGCTGGAAGACCTCCATGTTGGTTGCCATATTCTCTCCTTTGGTCCATACTGCTCTCTATCCACTAAGTACCACAGGAGTCCTCATTACCACTTGTGATTCTAGGAGGGTTTGAACAATGAATTCTTCCTACTTAACACACAATTAGTAGGAATGGGTGAAGACTTAGTATGTAGTTAGAAGTCAAGGTGAGCTCATTATACCAAAGGACATGGGGTGAATACAGTGTTCCAGATCTCCAGCAGGCAGGCCAAAGGTC